ACCATCCGATACTGCTTTGTTCCTTACCACAATAACATTTTCCAGAAGTTGGGCATTTCAATTCTTCTGAAGTTAGAGCAAAATCTATTAAATCAGAATCTCGATTTTGTTGAGAAGACATAGGTGATTCTGCACATGTTTAAAAAATTTAAAGATTTTGCCCGAAATTAAGTAAAGAATTTCGTTAAGACCTAAAATATTTAACATACCTGAATTGTCATAGGAATTTTCATTCACGAAATGGATTAAAAGAAATTCATATTTTTTTTTTGATTAAAATGGCTTATAAGTCATGCATGTTATTGTAGGCTATATTAGTAAAACAGTAACAAACAGGTTATTTCAAGAAAATCACCCGACCCCATCCCCAGCCCCGAGTTATAGAACAAAATCTTTGAGAGAAAGGTGATTCTGTACACGTTTAAAAAATTTTATAGGTCTCAGAAATTAAGATGCATTTTTCGCACCATCCAATGCTTCTTTGTTCTTTTGCACATTCCAAACATTGCCCAAAAGTTACATTATATTTGCTTTTTAAAGCACCTTCAGATTTTAAAGCAAAATTCATAACAACAAAATCCTATTTTGTTGAAAAGTCATTATTAATAAATTATAATATTTGGAATAATTCAAGTTCTAGGAATTATTAACTAAATTAAAGATTTTTATTGCATTTTAGTTTAATGTTATTAGATTAAAATGCAATAAAAATTTTTAATTTTGTCAGTACATCTGATTTCCAAATATGGGTCATTTGACAAATTAAAATCGAGTTACGAGCATAGTAAATCGATATTATCCGTAATGTGATTTTAATAGTAAACTGCCCAATAACGTTTCGTACTTACAACTTAAATTAAAACGGATCGAAAGATTTTTTATTTTTATGTTTATCTTTACAAAAAATTTGACTTTAATTTTTTTGGATTATGCTTAATGTGTGTAAAATCTTAATTGAAAGTTGCACACCATGACAATATCACTTAATTTTGATTTTTTGAAGTGCTATGATTTCCGATATTTCGAAAATTATAAAAAAGAAATAAACGAATAAATAAAAAAAAAAACGAGCGCGTGATAAATCGTACATAACTTTATTTTTTTTTGCCTAACTACTGGAAATAAAATACGAGTTAAATGAGTAAAATTTAAAAAGTCCATTCTCCTTTTTTACATTTTGCCGTATAAAAAAGACTGAGAAGATCTATATGGATTTAACGGATGACTAGTATAAATTGCTTTCATGAATCTACAAATCATTTTCAAATTGATCAGAAAGATAATTCAGACGTATTTGGATCATCACATATGGCGGAGACCCAATCTCCAAAACCTTGGTAAAGTTGATAAGCTGTTCGCCTATTTGATGGATTGGCATCTAAACATTCAAGCATTAATTTAGAATAAGCAAGTGGAGTTCCTTCTATAACATTTGGTCTTAACCCGGAGCAGATTTCTTGAGCAAGTTGTAAATCATGGGTCTGTTGTACCCCAAATGCGTTAATGTCCGAAATGCGCATTTGGGATATCCCAAATGTGAAGATCGTTTTGGGATATTAACTTGCCCCAAATGCGCATTTCGGGTATGTCCCAAATGCACATTTTGGATATCCAAATGCCAATACAAAGTTTGATTTGATTACATTTTTATTTACAATTTAAATAAAAATGAAGTTTATAAATATAGATATATATAAAATATAAATAAAATATAAATCACAAGTCTGTCATTTAATAAACCAAAATCATTAGTGGTCATTTAGGACAGTCCGAAATGAATCTGAATTGGTCTTTTGGAATATCCTAAATGCTCATTTGTGATATCCGAAATGAGCATTTGGGACATTATCCGAAACATGCATTTGGGACATTGACGAAATGCGCATTTCGGACATCAACACATTTGGGTTCAACAGGTCTATCATAATAAGGGCCGATTACATCCACATGATCATGCCAAAACTGTAAACATCAGATTCTTTTGTTGGCGTATTTCCGTAAAAAATTTCTGGTGCAACGAAAGGTATTACTCCATAGATTTGTTTTGATGGGTCATCAACCGGAACGTGCAAACCACTATCCGCGATTCTAGTATCTATTGAATCTGCTTTTATTTCTCGTGTATACTCTTTTCGTTGGCGTATTTCCATTAAAAAGAGCTCCGTAGTAACGAAAGGTATTGCGCCATAAATCTATTTAATGGGTTATCTACTGGACCGTGCAAGCCATTATCCGCGATTCTAGTATTTATCGAATCTGCTTCGTTTTGAACTAATATATTTCCTCCGCGTATATGTCCGTGGAGAAGACCAACTTCATGAGTAACATTAAGACCAGCTGCTATGGACCATAACATATCTACTATATCTATCCAGCAAAGAAGCCCGATATATCGTTCAAAATATTCATATAATATATTTGTTCATAATATCTCATAACGAACATATAATTTGAGGATGAATCCTTAGTCATACTATATAACTTTTTTGAATGAAATTAAAAAATAAAACAGAAAAGAATAAATATTGTGGGCACGAGGATATCGGTTTAATCTAACTATTATAATGGCTTTTTTATATACCAATTAATAGAGTCTAGTAGATATCACGTGAGGAGATGGGATACGTCTTTTAATAATATATTGTGATTAAACTTCTCTTAACCGGTCGGAATAAAACCAAGTTACGAGGAATAGTAAATCATATCATATGAACCGATTTTAATAGTAAACCCTTATTTCGTAGATCAATCACTTACTTGGTTACAAATTCTTGACTCATATTTTGTGAATTATATAATCGTTTTAATATAACTTTAATTGGTCCGTTACGTTCTCATGTTTTAGCCTCTTCATCCAATTTCCATGGGTACGATTATGCAGATCAGTAATTTTTGTGAAATTTGTCATCGTAACGTACCGTACTGGTCCTATAATAACTAAGCTCTATTATAGGACCAGTACGGGTATGGTACGATGTCAAATTTCGCATTTTTGTATTTTTTCTTTCTTTTTTTTATCTAAATATATTTTTTATATTTTTTTAATTTTTTTTTTTTAAATTCCTTCCCAGTATATATATATATATTTTTAATTGATTTTTTTCTTTTGTTTCTTTATTTTATATTTTATTATATTCTTTTTAAATTCCCCCGGACGGACTTTTTATTTTATTTTTATTTTTTTTTTTTTTAATCTATTTTTTTTTATTATTTTTATTCCCCTCCCACCGGACTTATTATTTTTTTTTTTAATCTTTTTTTTTTTTCTTTTTTGTTTAGTTTCGTTTTAGTTTCCTTTTTTTTTTTATTCTTTCATTTCGTTGTTTTTTTTTAATTTTTTTTGTATTTTTTTTATTTTGTTTATTTTTTTTTTCTTTTTTGTTTAGTTTATTTTGTATTTCATTTGTTTGTTTTTTTTTATAATTTTTTCTTTTACTTTTTTCGTTCATTTATTTTTTTCTTTTTTTTTAGTTTTTTCTTTTCTTATTAATTTTTATTTTTTATTCCATTTCATACTTTCGTTTTCATTTTATTTATTTGATTTTTTCATTATTTTTTGCAATTCTATACTTTCGTTTTCATTTTATTTATTTTATTTTTTCAATTTTTTTTTGCAATTCGTTTCTTTTTTACTTTTTTTTTTTTATTTTAGATTTTTTTCTTTTTCGTTTTTTCAAAAAAATAAAATAAAATGAATAAAAAAAAGAAAATAAAAATACAAATAAGATTTGGCATTTAATTAATTATATAAAATTCGTTGTATTTATAAAATAAGTAATAAATAAAAATAAATTTTACAAAATTTCATTGCGTACCGTACCGGTTTTCCATATACTCTTTTTCCATTTGGAACTTCAATCCATGTTGCGGAATAAACTGTGATGAAAGCACCTCGTTTTTAATATTTTAACGAAAACAAATTGGTCGATATAAATTCATTCTAAAAAGACCAAATTTTCTTCGGCATTTAGTTGAGTATGTCTAATAAATTTATCTACTATCCAAATCCCCTCTCAACCTTGCAAGATCGCAATGTTTACACCTTGCTGCTGATTTTCGTTTGTATCACGCATTCTAGACATTTTGTGTATGACAAAGCTTTATTAGTTGAAGAAAACCCGAACCGAACGAAGGGTCCAGAGAAGTCTCTGAATCCAGTTTAAAATTATATATAAAAGACGTTTTTTACGTTTTTTTTTTTTATTTTTTTTTCCTTTAAAATAGACCAGCTTACAAATTTATACATTTGAGGGGAAATGGATTGTAAACTAAAATGTTACTATACTTGTATATAATTCAACCTCATTATATATGTTCGTTATGATTATGAACAAGGAGATTTATATGAAAATCTACCGAGCTTCTTTGCTGGAGAAATATAGTAGATATGCTATGGTCCATAACAGCTAGCCTTAATATTATTCTTGAAGCCGGTCTCGTCCATTATACACGGACGAAATTATTTTAGTTAATATGAAGCAAATTCAATAGATACTAGAATCGCGATAACGGTTTGCATTGTCCCATCAAAACAAATGTATGGAGTAATACCTTTCATTGCACCAGAAATTTTTAATGGAAACTTCAAAAAATAATCTAATTTTTACAGTTTTGGGGAATGTTACCAGCCGGTGTACTCCCTTATTTATGATATCAATTTTTACGAGATTGGATTTCCGCCATATGTGATGATCTGAATTACAGTAACTGATCAATTTGATGCCGCAGAAGAGACGTCTGAACATGATTATTAAAAGGCAATTTAAACTAGTCGTTTTTATACGGCAAAATGTAAATAAGGAGAAATGGACTTTTATACTTTAAAATATTCGTTTATTTTTTTTTATTTTTCGAAACATCGGAAATCCAAACACATTCATAAAATCAAATTTAGCAATGTTGGCGTTGTCATATTACTATGCAATTAAGATTTTAACATTAAGCATAAACCAAAATGAATAATACATAAATTTCATAAACCAAATAGGGAAAGCCACATAAAATATTACTATTTTGAAAGTAAAAATGTAATGTATTTTACTATGGTACTCATTGGTAAAAGATTTGATAAGGGAATCACCCTTATTAGACCAATTGAAAGATTACCTTTTTTGAATATATAAGATTGCAGTACGGTATATAGCTTAATCATTAATATGATTTTTTATTTAATTAAAGTCATACTTTTAAAAAATAATGACAGGAAGATAAATAAAATATGATTCAACCAGTATAATCATGACTGAAATTCAAAATGGTATCAAATTGAAATCCAATTCAATTAACTGACAACCGTGTAAATTTTAGATTCATTTGAAATATGTAATTAAGGCCATTTGATTAAAAATTAATTTAACAGTTAAGGCGTGGAATGTGCAAAAGTATGAAAAGGATAAAATCAATTTTGATTTTGTCTCGCCTTATAACTATTTACCGTAATGCCTGCGATATTAAGAACCTTTTTTTTAGATGCTTTATATTTGTAACACGTTTCATTTAGGGGTCATATAGAAGAATCCGTTAAAATAAAGTTTCGCGAAAGTATATATAATTAGCGGTAATTCCGGGTGGATTGACCAGCATTTGCCAACCACTTGATGTTGCGATTAATAAACCATTTAAAGAAAATTTATGAAAATAATGGCATAATAGGATGGCTGGAGGTGGTGCTGAAACAACTGCTACAGGAAACCTCCGTCAAGCAAGATTGAGTGATTTGCATATGGGTCAAACGTCGATTGTAGTGATATTGATGAAGATTGATGCGGTGAACGATAATGGTAGCAGTGACGATAATAGTAGCAGTGATGGTGAGCGATCATTAATAATGATGAAAGAAATATTGATGGCGATGAAACTTTTAAATAAAATAAATAAAAATAGTGCTTATTTTCGGGGAGTGCCTATTTCGGAGGAATAAGATATTTTCTAATAATTACTTTACTAAAATTGCTCTTCGCACTTGTTTTGTAAATTTGTATATGAAATTTCTGTATGAGTTTGCAATAACTTGAGAAGAAAGAATTTATTCAGGCAATACTTGTATATTACAAGCACATAGTAGGTTTCGACGGAGCTTTTGAAACTATAATTACGATCATCGACGTTCGAAACTTTACATTAAAGATCTGTCGAAGGTCAAAACGAAACATGGGTTTCCACCCACTAAAATGAGTTTTTTCTCGCAAAAAAAAATTTTGAATTTTATTTATTTCGTTTGTAAACCTATTTATTTTCAGGAAATAATCATGAAATTGAAGCTCATTGAATTAGAAATGAAGTTTCAGGTAAATTTAACGACGAAATTATATTTCGGATAAATGGAGGTGTCGATTAAAATGTTCTGTAACCAATGTTTATAATGCACATGGAGAAAGCATATAAATTTCAACAAAAAATAGATATTTTCTTCAATAACTTTCAAGAGAAATGATATTTACGAAGTATTTGTTTGTAATCATAACTTCTATTTCTTAATATTTTCGTCAATAAAATAAATTTTTTTGGAACATCCAAACTAATTTGTAATTTACTTAGTTATTTTGACACACAGAATTAAATAATTTTAGAATTCGTTAATCCTAAATTTACAAACTTATATAGGAAGGTGGCAATAAATATATTTTTCTATTAGTTTTAATTATTCAAAATTAAATCTTTTGTATTATGGAGTATTCGATTTTATTTTCTAATAAATCTCTTTAATTAAAATGTCTTATAATACATAGAATTCCGAAAATAAATTGAGTTAATGAACATTTAACAATTCTATAAAGTAAATTTGTTTTTTCCGGCAGTTAACTCCCACATAATGATTAAACTTCCGAGATTCCTTTTTAATATGCTTGTGACTTTAAATTTAATCAAAATTATTATTATATTTTGTTAATATCTGTACATATTTTATTTCAAGTGACAATTAATTATCATTATTTTTTTTTTATATATTAAACTAGCCTAATTCCGAATAATTGTACATACCAAATATAAAGTCCATTGCATGAGGAATACATATGAATTTCTCATGTTATAAAATAAAAAGTTAGATTCTCAACGTTGCGCTAACTGAAAATGTAACTATTTGAATTTCTTTGAATTTCTTATATAACTATCTATTAAAATATATACTGTATCACTATTTGCATTTTTAAAAACTATTACAAACCTCGGAAAAATTATGCATGCATAGCATTATTTGATAAATTTTCCGAAACCGTATTTCATTCACTTGTCCCAATATGGTTAATAATGTATATGATGTTCGTTATGTTTACGTGATGAGATGATTTTTATAGTAGCAACATAAATTTGTTATCGATTTTATATATTCATAAATAAAAAAGAAGCATTGAATTT